GTGAGAGAGAGAGAGAGAGAGATAACTGAGAGAGAGAGAGAGAGAAGAGCGAGAGAAGAGAGAAAGAGAGTGAGAGAGAGAGAAGAGAGAGAGAGAGACGAGAGAAGAGAGAGAGAGGAAGAGAGAGAGAGGAGAAGAGAGAGAAGAAGAATGAATAAAAATATTAAATTGATTGAAAATAATGATGATGCTAAAGATAACAATAACAACATCAACAATAACAACAATGATAACAACAGCAATAACAACGCCACACAATAACAAATAACCCCCCCAAAAAAAAATCCGCCAGAGACCAAACATACGAACGAACCAACCAAAACAAAACAAAATGGACAATACCAAACTAAGGCGAAAAAAAGAAAAGGCAATCTCCAGAACGACACAAGGCAGATAGGAGACGCAGGCAGCCGGAGGGGCCTCGACGACCGAGGTACCAACACGAAAATAAAAATCGCGCCGATAAATACACCAACCTGGCGAGGGAGGAGGGGGTGAGGACAGGAGGGGGGATGTCAACCTGAAGGGGAGGCGATGAGGGGAGGGATAGGGGCGATTGAGGGAGGGAGGGATAGGGGGCATGAGGAGGGAGGGATTAGGGGGGCGATGAGGAGGCGAGGGATATGGGGGGCGATGAGGGGGGGCTGATATTGTGGGGGCGCATGAGGAGGGGAGTGGATGGGGGGGCGATGAATGGGGGGGAAGGGAGGGGGGGGGGCTTGTCAACCTGAGAATAGAGAGGGAAAGATAGGATTGGCGATCATTAAGAGATAGTGCCTATATTTGGATCATAATAGTCATTTGATTAAAATGACATTATGAACAACAACAACCATCTTCCTGTACGGTTGTTTTGGTCTCCACTAGAGTTATATTTGTATATATGATATTTGATAAATCAAAAAAAAAAATAATAATAAAAGATACATAGACTGGTTTGTAACTGTAAATCCACTGAGAAGATGAACTGTTGATGTATGACATGCCACAGGATAACAAAACAACAATAACTGTCAACAAATAACAAAATAATAATAAATAAAACAACAATAATAACAAAACAACAACATAATATAATATAATATAATAATAACTACAGCAGAGCACTAGACAAGTCCCAACTTCAGAAACGTGCAAAATCCAGCTTCAAATTGCATCAATCTATCACGAAATTTTAAAAAATATATGAATTTACTAGCGCGCCAGTTTTACATTACAATCGCACTGGCAATGAATAATTAATTCCATCCTAGATCCGCGTGTTTGGGATCTGGTTCTCCCAATCATCTGCCATTAGCCATGGGACATCCCCATAAATTTTATCACAATCTGTTCATCATCATAAACACAATCGCACAATAATAATAGCAATTTAACCTCAACAATAATAACAATAACATAATAACAATATATATACACATAATAATAATAATAACAATAAAATAAAATAATAATAATAATAATAATAATAATAATAATAACAATAACAATAAACAATTAATAATAATAATAATAATAATAATAATTAATAATAATAATAATAATAATAATAATAATAATTAATAATAAATAATAATTAATAATCATCATAATAATAATAATAACAATAACAATAACAATAATAATAACAATAACAATAAAAAACAATAATAATGAATAAACATAATAATAATATAATAATAATTAATAATAATAATAATAACACAACAATAATAATTGACTTGTGGTGATAAACAATGATATTGTTACCCATTATTATCACCATCATTATGATTTATCGTTACTATCTTATTATCAGTAATTATCATCATTATGATCATTATATTATAAAATAATCATCATTAAGAGTGGAGAGAGGAGAAGGACGACGACGACGCGAAGACGAAGACAAGGAGAGGAGATGGATAAAGAGGAGAAGACTAGGGCAAAGAAGTAGAAGAAGAAAAAAAAATAACAATAACAAAAAAAAATCAAGAAGAACAGAGAGAAAGTCAAATACAGGAGGAAAGAGGGAAAAACACGAACAAGCACGAGAGCCGAGAGAGCCGGGAGAGTCAGCGACCAAGTGGCGCGGAGAGCCGAGACTGCAAGCCCTCGTCACGGACCCGGCCCCTTATGGTCGAAACAGCCCCCCGCACAAGGACAGGAAGGCCGCAATTTGCATAATTAAGTCTCAGATCCTCGAATAATTTCAGGACTAAGGATGCAAAATGAAAAAAAATCCCCATACCCAGAAGAGAATGACAAGGCGGCCATGTTTCAAGCGAGACAGAAAAGGAAAAGGAGGAAAAGCAAGGGAGGTGTAGTGGTGTGGGGTGAGGGAGTGTGAGGTACAAGGGAGAATGAAAACGAAATTTTAAAAAATTAAGAATTAAAAGGAGAGGGGACAAAGAGAAAGATTGAGGAGAGAAAGAGGGAGGGAGGAGGGATAGAGTGCGAGCGTGGGAGGGAGGAGGGAGGGGAGAGGGGGGGAGGGAGATAGGGGGGAGGAGAGAGGGGAGAGGGAGAGAGGGGGAGAGGGAGGGAGAGATGAGAGAGAGAGAGAAGAGAGAGAGGAAGAGAGAGCAGGATGAGAGATAAAAGAGAGGAGATGAGAGAGAGAGAGGAGAGAGAGAGTAGAGAGCCTGCAGAAAGAGGAGGAGAGAGAGAGAGAGAATAGCGAGAGAGGAGATGATGAGAGAAAGATGAGAGCGTGCGCGTGCGTATTCTGGCTAGCCAAGTCCGACCGGGCAATGGCACCGGAAACGGGGCTGGAGACGACCACCGTGACAACTCATGTCTTTGGCACGAAAGTGTGGAGCCTTTACTCCTATGCCTCTCTCTTTCTTTTCTTCATCCATCTATTTTTTTCCTCCTCTTTTCTCGTCTCCTTCGTTCCTCTATTCCTCTTTCTTACAACATTTCGCACAAGCCTTTCCTCCTCCTTCCAACCCCACCCAAGGCCATGCCTGGCTAGGAAAACAATTACCTTACGAGAGAGAGAGAGAGGGAGGAGACACGGGAGAGATGGGAGAGAGGGCGAGAGGGGAGAGGAAGAGGGAGACGGGAGAGGGGAGAGGAGAGGGAAGAGGGAGAGGGAGATGGAGGAGGGAGAGGGGAGAGGGAGAGGGAGAGGGAGAGGAGAGAGAGGAGAGGAGAGAAGAGGGCAGATTGAGACTGAGGATGAGAGAGAGAGAAGAGACGAGAGAGAGAGAGAGAGAGAGAGAGAGAGAGAGAGAGAGCGAGAGAGAGAGAGTGAAAAGAGAGAGAGAGAGGTGAAGAGAAGAGCAGAGAGACTAGTGAAAGAGAGAGAGAGAGAGGGAAGAGGAGACGAAGAGAGTCTGTGAAAGAGAGAGAGGAGAGTGAAGAGAGAGAGAGAGTGAAAGTAGAGGGAGAGAGTTGAAAGACCAGAGAGAGAGAGAGAGGAGATGAGAGAGAGCAGAGAGAGAGAGAGAGAGACGAGGAGATGAGAGCGAGAGATGAGAGAGAGAGAGAGAGAGAAAGAGAGAGAGAGAGAGAGAAGAGAGACAGACGAGAGGACAAGAGAAAAGAGAGAAAAGAAGAGAAAAGGAAAAAAAAAGAAAGAAAGAAGAGAAGAACGAGAGAGAGACTAAGCCCAGCCAGACAGACAGAGACAGACAGACAACACCCCAGCCAAACAAGCCCCAGACGCGGCCACTGCAGCCCTACAAAAGCCAAGGCCTGAGCCCGGCGGATTACTTTCACGAATTCATATATTACAATTGTTTCCCCGCTCGCTATTACGCCTGAGTGCACGCCGGGACCTGTTTGGGTTTTCTCTCCTCGCCTCTTTCGCCTCTTTTCGCTGCTCACTTCTCTCGCCCGCAGATCTGTTTCCCTTCCCCGATGACGTGGGCGCCGGGCCGGGGCGCTCCCCCGCGGGGCTCTGTGGGCGCCGTTCCCTCTCGCCCTTTTCCTGGCGGCCGCTGACGCTTCTTCTCACGTTGTCATACTTGCTTGTCTGGCCGGCGGTCTTGTTTGTCTGTCTGCCTGTCTATTTGGCTGTCTGTGTCTGTCTTCCCGGTCTTGTCTGTCTGTCTGCATGTCTTCCCTGTCTTGTATGTCTGTCTTGCTGTCTGACATGTCTTTCTGTCTGTATGTGTGCCTCTGTCTACCATCCAAATATTTCCAATATATAACATACATTATCCATTCTCTTTCCATTCCTTCATTTACTCCGTTACTTGCTCAATATCAGCTGTTTCACCTCGACGGAAGGTGGCTCTATATTGACCTCGTATTGCACAAGGGCGGCTTTGACCCGGGGTCACGCTCTCTGGCTAATGCATTCACAATCGAACTCGCTCTGCGCGGCCGACACATCAGCAGCGACCCACGTGCAAACCTTTCCTCCTTTATGCTGACCACCAAAAATGCCTTCTATTTCAGCTTCGCACTCTTCCTCTTTCCATGTTTTTTTCTCGTAAATACAGTGGAATATATCTAGCACGCGCCATCATATCCCTCCCAGAAGTCTAACACAGAACACACGCCCGACTATTTTTCAACAACACACAACACACATCAAAATGCCCCCTTGCCTGCCCCTGCCTGGGAAATCATGACTGACAGACAGCCGATTCCCGAGACGACAGCAACACGACAGGCGAGGAGAGTTCATCAGACAGCTTGAAATCTCTGGACAACAAGCGAGAAAGGGTTCGAAGCGCGAGAGAAGGGTTCGGATCCCACGGGGCAAAACATTCCATCCTGTTGAAAGCGGTTTGCCATTCTATAAAATAAGCTTCGGATCGGATTAAAACACAAGTCAAATCGACAAAAAAAAAAAAACGACCGGCCTCCTTACCTCACCTCATTAACGAGAGTCTCTTCCTGATCAAAATTTTATCACGCAAACAAATCCATGAATAAAACAACACACACCTGAAACCCGTAACCATTCAAACGGACAGGGAAACGATAAATAAACATGAATAATTAATAATTAAAACTGAATCAACAAACCCATCGTTCGAAGAATTACTCGAACCGTGACTCACCGTGTGTGTGTCTCTACCCGCCAATCATACCTGCAGAAAAAAGAGAAAAAGGAAAAAACATTAATAAAAAACTTGTGAAAGACGTCAAACCTGCAGAAAAAAAAAAAAAAAAAAGAAAAAAAACTTGTGAAAAATGTCATACCGGCAGAAAAAAAAAAAAAAAAAAAGAGAAAGAGAAAGAAAAAAAAAAACATTAATAAAAGAAACTTCAGAGAAACACCCCACACAAATAAATCAAAACACAAACATAAGAGATGCTAGCTCCATAAATAAACAATATCTTCATACATACCTCAGCTACCACTCCGACAAATAAATAATACCGACACCATAAATAAGTAAACGGAATAACACAGAAACCTATTAAATACATAAATATATGAGACATTAATCCAATAAACAGAAAAGCAAATAAGATGCCAAGCGAATAATTAACGAAGGACATCCATCCGACACACCGATAAATCAATCAATACGACACCCAACCATAAATAAATACACGAAATAAACAAATCGATAATAAAAATATTATACCAACTAACGTGCCAAGATACCAACCCAAGGGAAATAAAAAACACAGGATCTCATTCCAAGAAGTAAATCAACAAATAAAAAGAGATAGAAAAGACACCGCCCTATCCCCCCACCCCTTCACTCCCCTCCCCCTCCTCCTTGTACACCCCATCCCCCCTCCCCTTCACCCCAACCCAACCCCACCCACCCATACCCATTCCCCACCCCAACCCCACCCCTTCCCCTCGTCCCCTCAACCCCGCCAATGACTTCATACCCCCTCACCCACCTTCCCCTTCACTCACCTTCCCCTCAGCCCCACCCCCACCCCACCCTCGGCGAACCCCGTTCCTTGCTCCCACCTCTTTTTTTGAGGCAATAACCCCGGGGGAGAAGACGCGTGTGATGACCATGGCCCGGAGGACGCCCAGAGATCACTTAAATATTTATGGCTAACCTGGAGTTGTGGAATATGACGGCCTTTGATATCAGAATTGCGGGGAGGGGGGAGGAGAGAGGGAGAGAGAGGAGGGGGAGGGAGAGGAGAGGGAGGGAGGAGAGAGGAAAGAGGAAAGAGAGGAAGAGAAGAGGGAGGAGAGAGGGGAACGAGAACAGAGGGTGAGGAGAGAGAGGAAAGAGGAAAGAGGGTGAGGAGAAAGGAAAAGAGGAAAAGAGGGTGAGGAGGAGGGAAAGAGGAGACAGGGTGAGGAGAGAGGGAAAGAGAACAGAGGGTGGGGAGAAAGAAAGAGACAGAGGGTGAGGAGAGTTAGAAGGGTGAAAGAGAGGAGAAGGGACAAATGAGGGGACCAAGGGAGGGAAGGGGGGGAAAATTGGAGAGGAAGGAAAATGAAAGACAGGAAGGAGGGAAGAATGGAGAGGGAAGGAAAATGAAAAGACAGGGGGGTGGAAACGAGAGGGAAGGAGTGGGAGGGAGGGAGAGGGGGCGGAGTCAAAATCCATGTAAAGGAGCATTTTTGCCGCCGTTCAAGTGGTCAAGCAGTGCTTGCGGCAGCGGAAATGAAGGCTTGCCGGCTTCACAAAATTCTACTCCGACAAGTCTCCTAGATACTTCGGTTTTGAAAGGCAACAAGAAGCCGTTAAAAGAGCAGCCATACCTCCAAAGTTACACACTCTCCTTCCCTAACGAGTTTAAACTTCAAGCCGTTTCGGACAACAGCACAGTCGTTTGACACGTGTGCACCACAGCGCATCCGCCGCAGGAAGTCTTGCCGCAAACGTTTTATCTATTTAACCTTGAGGAAAAAATTAGCTCTCCAAGCTTAAGCTACGATTCTGCAGCACAAAGCCGCGATTTAATAACACTGATAAAGAGAAGCACACTCCGTTACACCAAACAAAAATGAAAAAGACGGCAAAAATGAAAGTAAATTAAAGAGGAGATTAGGGAGAGAAGAGGAGGGAGAGAGAACATGGGAGAGTAAAGAGGGGGTTAGGGAAGAGGGGAAAGATATGAGGGAGAGTTCAGAGTAGGGCGAGGGAGAGAGGGGAAAGGCAAGTGGGAGAATAGAGAGGGGGGGTAGGGGAGAGGGAAAAGGCAAATGGGAGAATAGAGACGGGGGTAAGGGAGAGGGGAGAGGCGAGCGGGGCGGAGGCGAGGGACGCGAGACAGGGCAGGGAAGGCACGAGCGAGGTCGCGGCGGGGACAGATGGCGACTTGTTGAATGGTCGATATTCAAGAGGGGAAGAAAAAGGGGCGCCCAGCACGACCGCCATTTTCGCCATCTTCTTTTTTTTCCCCACAATTCTTATCGAAGGACGTCGCCTCGTATGCGCACGGTGACCTTTTAATGACCGGATGCCCTTTGTGCGCCAAGCGTCCCCGGGCGGTTCGGTCGCTGGCATTCCAACCGGCGCCGAGGACTCCGCTGTCCCTCCCACTCAGCGCGGCGACGTTCGGCGAATGCAATAAATAATAACAACAATAAAGAATAGAATAACAACAAAGAATAAACAAATGACGTTAAGAAGACGGGAAGCGAACGTCGAAATGAGAGGAGGCAAATTACGGAAAAGCCGTGCAAGCGGGGGCTCCGGGGCAGCGACGCGCCTGCTATGTGAGTGATTTAACCTGTCGCTTCTGATGAAGTAAATGACAAAAGCTGTCAGTTCAACAGTAGGATGATATGCGCTGGATGACGAGGGCGAAATCAGAGGGGGGAGGGAGAGGGTGGGAGAGGGGAGAGGGAGGGAGGGGGGAGGGAGAGAGGGAGCGAGGGAGGGAAGAGAGGGTGGGAGGGAGAGGGAGGAGAGGGGGAAGAGGGAGAGGTGGGAGAGGGAGGGGACGGAAGAGGAGGGGAGAGAGGGAGAGGAAGGTTGGTAGGTGGAATGGAGGGATTGGAAAGAGAAAAAGGGAAGAGAAAAAGAAAAAGATCAGCATTGGATGGAGGGATCGGAAGGAACAGTGAAGAGGCAAGAGGGAAAAAATCGAGGATGAGGGAAGGGAGACAGGAAAAAGGGAGAGAGGAAGAGGAAGAGACGGAAGGGGACAGCGAAGGGGGAAAAATAAAGATAAATTTATACAGGGGGAGAGGTTTGCGGGAGGGAGGAGACAGAGAGAGGGAGGGAGGGATCGGAAGGGACAGCAAAGGGGAGGGAGAGAGAAAGCTTTGGAGGGGTGGAGGGGAAAGAATGAAAAAAACAGATAGATAAGGACGAAAGTCTCCTTAACAATATGGATATAAAAATATAAACCCAAAACTAAGAACAATTATCAATACAAAAATTACCACGATAATAATAATCAAGTACCTCATACAATCAATCAATCAATCAATCAAATCTCTCTCTCTCTCTCTCTCTCTCTCCTTCTCTCTCTCTCTCTCTCTCTCTCTCTCTCTCTCTCTCTCTCTCTCTCTCTCTCTCTCTCTCTCTCTCTCTCTCATTCTTATCTCTTTATCTCTCTCTCTCTCCCAATTCTTTATCTCTTTCCCTCTCTCTTTATCTCACTCAATTACCCGCTCACTCACATCAACGATAAAATAAAAATCAATAACATCCCTAATTACCCAAATCCCGTGGAAGCCAAACGGCCTTCCACACCTCCGACCATACACGCGACAAACGCCAACGCCGCACATAACAAGGGTATCGTAAACGCCAATAACTTATAGAAATAGCACGCACACCCCCAATTACCCGCGCCCTGATTAGGACTACTAATAATTGGCTTATTGGGCCACGGAATGCCTCCACATCTCATTAATCGGCCCAATTAGCCAATAGCTACGAGCCAACCCCAGATCAGATGAAACGTCGACTCGCCATGGCCAGCGGACCCGACCCGCTCGACCGACCCCGACCCGACCCGACCCGAACCCGTAAGTGACACGGATATCGCACGTGCTTTATCGTCATCGTCATCGTCCATTCGCATCATCTTTATTCCATTTCATTCCATTCTCTGAATCTATTCGTTATCAAATCTTATTTTCATTGAAAGCTCCATCATTATCTCTTTTCATACTTCGCATCTATATATCATCATTATTATTAACTATATGGTTTTATTATTTTTCTTCTCTCTCACATTTCTGGGCATTTTCTCACCGTTTGTCTAGTTCCACCTTCATGTAGGCCTATGCCAGAGGGCCGTCAATAATAATAATAAAATGCACAAGGGAGGGAGAGGTGACCCCCTTGCCACGCCCAACACCTTACACGCCCACCTATCCACATCGCGATGAATATCGATATTCACACCCACCCATTTGCGACCACGCCCATCGGATGAAAGAGCTTCCAGCCGCCATCTATGTGCATCTATCCCCCGTCTTTCTCTCGCCTCTCCCACACGCTTGGGCATAAAAAAGCACGACCATTTACTCGACTCAGAAAGACCAAACGGCACTCCGCCCACATCTAAAGAGCAGCCCACCCCCACCCACCTCTTAGCCCACTCCCTGGCTGGTGGGTTCTCAAGCTGACTTCTTCTCGCAAGCATTAAACTTTAACGTCGAGGTGGCATGACACTCGCTTGTCTCCCCCCCCCCCCCTTCCTTCTCTCGGGCATTGTCTAATGAATTTACAAGATAAACGAAGTAAATTTCTCTCTCCATCCCTCTTTCTGCTCTCTCATCTCTCTCTCTCTTCTCTCTCTCTCTCTCTCTCTCTCTCTCTCTCTCTCTTCTCTCTCTCTCTCTCTCTCTCTTCTCTCTCTCTCTCCTCTCTCTCTCTTCTCACACTTACTCACACTCACTCACACTCACACTCACTCACACTCACTCACTCACTCACTCACTCACTCACCCACTCACTCTTACCCATTCTTAACCTTCCTCTCTTTCCCTACCACGCCCTGTCCGACAAAATGAATTTACAAAGAAACAAAAATAATCGGCATAGCGGTGGACACGACATGAGCTTCTTGAGGCAAACAAGCGAATTGCCAATTTCCGCAGGGTTTACAATGGCTGTTAGACAAAACCCGTTTATCTGCCTTAGCGTGGAGATAGATCCATTATCACAATTATTATTAACAGAAAAATATATATGATCCA